GTTGTGTTTCGTCGTGTGAGTGAGGTTACCGGAGGCCCAATTACCCTCCCCTTCCCCAATCTCCCCAATTCCTGAATCCCCAACGATCCTCAAACTCCTAATCCCCAAAAGGCCGGTAACGCACTTGTAACGCCTCTGGTGTTCCAGGTGTCCATGGGCGACGCCGATTGCTTACCATCAGGTGATCCGTCTGCTCGTTTACCGGCTTATGCTAAAAAAAAAAGTCAGTCTTTAGTGGTTGCAAGTCTAGATTCAAAATTCGCCTCTATAGTAGCTAAATCATAGTCCACACTTAAAAGTCCACTGAAGTCGTTATTTAAGCCCTTATCTAACATCTTCAATCTAAATGAATTAGTAGCCAGCAGAACTTATTATTCCAATGGTTACATTTACATTCGGCAATGCAACGGGGCTTGCATATCAATTAGACTTATAGTTACGACGGTCAAGATTTTTGAGGACATGCTGGGTAGAGGGATTTTCCATGGTAACCAGATGTGGTACAGTCCAAGGCACGAGCCATGACTATACATTTTGTGGTTGGGATAAAAATGAATTTGGGTCATCGTCATCAACAGCCTATAAATGCTCACTGCTGAGCAAAGCCTCTTCTCACACGGAGAAGGTTTGAGCATAAATCATCACGGTTACTCAATGCTGGTTGGCGATTACAAACTTATAATAAAAAATTCTAAGTCCAGGTTTCCTCACGATGTTTTCCTTCACTGTTTGTCAGTGGTGTCTAGATAAAAAACAGAGGTTCTCAATTTGACCTGTATGTATGTTTGTGCGCAATTATCTCGTGTTTGGCTGACCCGATTTGGATGCGGTTTTCAGAAAAGTGTTTCTACACTTAAGAGAAGGTTTTAGTATACCAATTAGCCGAGTTAAAAAAATAGGTGTTTTTTTAAACATAGTTTATAAAAGAATGATTGTACACCGATACTAATCAATAAACGAATGCCAGATGCAGGTATCGAACCTGATCCAAAAGCCTGAAAATGAATAGTAAACAAAAGCCCTGGTTTTCGTAACGTCACGTCCCATCTTCATTTGAATGTCACATGAGACGTGTGTGTCATAATTAGGTGTCCAATTTCCTCATTCGACACTTTTCGGTTGAGGTGATCTGCATTCAAAGGGAAGTTGGTAGAGGGAATTGATTTTATGGCTAAATAAATGTTCGAATATCAAGTTCACAATGTCCTTTTAGTCCCTGAAAGGTCAGGCAGAAAGTGTCCACGTATTCGGTATCACATACTTAGGATCCCCTTTTAATATAAAACCAAAAAACCCTTTAGTCGTACTTTGAGTGCACTGACTAAGAAACCTGTTAGGTTCTTAAAAACACTGGGCTCTCGACGCAAATCTATGCTAAAAATCTCAAATCCGAAAATCTCAATAACATAATAAGGGTCACAGTCTACATTTTCCATGTACCTATTTCGTCCAATATTGGTTCCAATGACATTGGTCAATTCCACCATTGGTATCACCGATACACTTGGTCCAGCTAGTTTAAGGCTATTTATAAACTGTAAGTTCGTGACTAGAATATTGAGAAATGGTTGAAATAAGTTTGTTTACAATTTTCTTTTGAATGTTTATACTATACCTAGTGTCGCAGAGAACCTAACGAGTTACCGGGGCTCCGGCTCTACGTGCAGGAGAAAGAACGGGGTAGTTTTTAGTCAGTAAGAGTCTGACACTCCCTCCCGTCTCACCCAGGTATGAGCAGTCATTCGATGATTTTCCCCCCTTAAACAAAATACTATACATAGTGCTAAGTAGAAAGTAAGTAAGTAAGTATCGGTTTTCAATTTTCGAATCTTAAATCCGGGTAGTTTTGCGATTTTAAAATGTTATTAATCATTTGGATTCTGGATATTTACATTACCAACAAAGGTGGCTGAAGTAACAACTTAACCAAGTTGAAAACTTATCTATTACATCTCTAAAACGACAAATTATATTTTTCCAGTCCAGGTATAAGTATGTTACCATCGTTTAATCTGATATTGCATAATACGAATGTTTTCATTATCGTCATCATAATATCAGTCGCAAGACGTCTACTGTCAATCTGCGTTCAGCATAGATTGCCCCTATGCCAGTTCGGCATTCAGACGCTTACACGACCTTGTACAGGTCACAGGTCTTTCAGAAGAAAAAAATGCAGAACGGATCTAAATAGAATTTAGCACAAAGATAGAATTCAGGGCCGATTTTTAAATCATTGGTTTATTCTTACCTGTTGAATAATATTGACATTTAACAGTTTTAGTACTGTCAAATATTGTTATTTATTTATTTATAAACAAATTTACATTTGTGTCGAATACGGTTTTGAACCAAAATTAAAAACTAATCACATAAAAATGAAGAAACTCAGGTAAAAGCAATACAATTCAATTAAAATAAAACACAATCATACATAAATTAAATACATACATAAATAAAAACTTCATTTAACTTACTAACAATTTCAAAACAACATACGAGTAATTTAATTACATGTCAACAAATAATTTAAATGTGTCAGATTGGAATACTAAATATATAATAAGTCACTAGTATAATCTCAATTTTAGTATCAACTATGTTTATCTTTCAGAAACTCCTCAATGCTGTAATAACATTTCCTCAATAACAATGTCTTTAATTTTCTCTTAAACTCATTTAGATTAGTGGAGCTTATTGTACAGGCAGCTTATTGTAGATATTAACTGATTGCACTCTTGAAGCATGTTTATCGACATTAAGTTTAGGCTGTATGGAATTCGATAGGTCCTTTCTTCGATATTCAAAGTTATTCCTCGGTTAAAATTTATCTGCCATTGGAAAATCGACCTTCATGAATAGAAACACATACTTTTCAACCAGAAACATAATCTGTATTCAATACAAAATCCACCCACCAATTTTCGCCATGGCTACGAGAAAGCACGTACAAGCAATTATCATACAATAGCAACCTATTTGTTAGACCTCTAAGGTCCAAAATGGTAATTAAAATCGCAAATCTCGTACATTTATGTAAGTCTCTAGTTTTTTTTTCGCTATCTCATTGAGGGTCAAGCCACGATTCGATATTGACCCGTACAAGACTTGCATTGTAATACTGACCCTGGGATGTTCTTTAATGGACAGCGTGGGGACTGTTCGAGAATATTCTCGAAGTATCCTTAAATAATTCTTGAACGGTCCTGAAAAATATTGTGGGTTTTTAAGTATGTTTAGTGATAGGAGTATAAGCCTCATTTATAGTCTTTGACCGTCCAGTCGTCTATTAGTGAACTACAGTATATAAATTATAGTTTTTTTTACTCACTGCCTCGTTGGGGTCTCGCGTTCGATTCCCGGGTCGGACAAAGTAATACTGGGTTTTTAAAAAAATCTCAGCAGTAGTAGCGCGGAGTCTGGAATTTTGTGCCCGGTATATGGCAATAGGTTCACCCCTATTACATGGGACTCATAACATTAATTGTGAAAAGTGGGTGTTACATTGTACAGTGGCATAATGTGCACCTCTGCCTACCCCTTCGGGGATAAAAGGTGTGTTATGTTATGTTATGTTTTTATTACTTATATTTGATAGGCCGACATTTGACCACCATCTCGCCTGATGGTAAGCGATGATGCGGTTATGGCGACACATGGTACATTTCAACGGATGACATCACAATAAATCCTACATCGCACATGCAAAGTTTACATGAAAATTAACACGGATAGAAAATCTAAACAAACAACTGTTGGGCAGAAAGCCCGCCAGGCACGATCACCTCGCCTGGTCGGAGGATCCTCCTTTTCCGATCTTAGGGAACTATACTCTCTGTTCCCTAAACGGTCTACGATGGAGCACATAATTCTATAAGCAACCTATTCACTCAGACCTTGAACAAATCCAGGTTATAGATATCATTGCAATAGATTTCTAGACTGCATGCCCAACCATTTGAACATTATTTTGTTCTTTCAGTGACCAATAAGGATGACAACCAAAACTCCTTTTACATAATCACGCTTAAAGATCTACAATAAAACGCAAATATAGATTAAAAAAATTATATCCCAATTCCCACATGTAGGTACTTAATAAATTAAATTTGTTGTATCCCAATATTTTATGTAAATTACTGACTTAAAATGGTATTACTTATACTTCATTTTCTTGATCACCAGGCACCTTCCGCCTCAAATGGTTTCTGCTGACCTGGTAGAAAGATAAAATAGGTTACTTCATTTTGATAGTCTGAAAGTCAAATTCACAGTCACATCATATCAAGAGCCTGTAAGTGGCCACTGCTGACCAAAATCTAATTCCGATCGATCGACATTGACATTGTGAAATTTCGTACTCTTGAGTTGCAAAACTAGCGCCTATTGCATCCGTATTGCGTGGATATTTAATGAACTAATTGGTATTGAGTTTGGCTTTATATTCCGTACTCTGAAAGCTACTTTAACAATTACAGCTACATACAATAGGGGTTGTATAGTTTTGACATTAGATAATTATTGAGATCTTAATGGATTGAAATTGCATTGACATTGAGATTGGTTTCAAGAGTAAGCACCCTGGTTTGAGCATTAATCACCACGCTTGCTCAATGCGGGTTGGTGATTTCAAACTTACATACATACATAACTTCACGCCTGTCTCCCATGGGGGTTACTAGTTATTGCCCGTGACTTCGTCCGCCTAGAATATGACTCCTGTCTTGTCCCATGGGAGCATTTAATCGGGATAAAAAGTCAGTCCTATTATCTAAGTCAGCTCATGCCCTACCTGTATAAATTTCATCAAAATCCGTTCGGTAGTTTAAACGTGATTAACGAATAAACATCCCAACAAAGAAACATTTTTTTTTTATATTTGATGGGCCGACGTTTGACTATCTCGACTGGTGATAAGCGATGATGCGGTCTACGATGGAGCACGTCATCACATAACTTCACATTTATAATATTAAAGTGAATAGTGTGATAAGCCTAGTTTTCCTTGCAAATAAATTCACTGTTAAAATATTTGTATTGTAACTTTCGTGAGACATACTAAATGAATTATTATGTGTTCTGCTTACTCAAATTTCTTCCCCGTCAAATTACTACGTGAGTAAGCCGAAAACATAATAATTTATTCACTTTTAAAAGTTCTGGTGAAAGAAATTCGCTACTGAAACTAGCATCAGAAACGACTTTACTGGATTCATGAATCCTGTCCATGGGCTAGGTAGCTACGAAGTGTCGCGGGTCTGATTACCGTATGAGTGTGATGAGTATATCTGTAGCACCCACGGCACTGAAGTATAATACCAATGCCAAGTTCTATCTCTACTTATTGTCCCGTACTAAGTAACTTCTCGAATATTCTATTCTACCACTCGAAACTCAATAATCATAATGTTAAACAAGGACAGGATAAATGATTTTTCGCTGTACAAATTGTAAAGCATGACTTGGATGCAGAATTTAATGATGATGTCAACTTGAACACTGTTCATTGGCAAATCATTAATGTTCATAGCAGTGTCCCTACACAACAAGAGAAGAATTAAAAAAACAGGAAAATATTAAAGTCAATTTTTACACATTTTTCTGTCTATCAACAGATTGTCTATGCTTTGAATGTGTTTGTCTATGTAACCTCTAGAACTACTAACCTATCATCACGCTATGGCACTTGGGAGCGAAGCACGGAAGTGAAACTGCAAGCAAAAACTATTTGTCTATACACCATTGGAAAATTTGATACCCAAACAAGTTATGGAAGAAAATTAAAAAGCCATAGATTGCTCTACATTTTATATCTTAAAGCAAAGCAAAAGCATTAACGTATGTAAATATTGGATAGTAACCAAAATTGAACTCTGCTCCCTTTATTTAAAGACCCATAATAAATAAGTTGGTCTACTTACTCTATACCTTCGCGGTCATCTTCTGTTTCGGTGGCCTGGAACAGTTATTAATCAGTACATTATAATTTTTTTAAAGTAAAAGATAGAATATTGTTAGTGTCTTCGACAACAGCCCGTAAAACTATTGGACTATGAGCCTCCTCTACATAAGAGGATTTGTTATAACCTCCATGCTTTTTTTTTTCATTTTTTTAAGGGGAGAGTATTATAGAATGACTGCTCCCGCCTGGGTGAGGCGGGACGGAGTGTCAGACTCTTACTGTCTAAAAACCACCCCGTTCCTTCTCCTGCACGTCGAGCCGGAGCCCCGGTAACCCGTTAGGTTCTCCGCGAGCAGATGGGTTTAAAATGTTCAGGTTCATATCAGACACTTCTGCTGTCTCTGACAAATGTGTAATCCCTTGGTAGGCCCTTATGAAACCCGTAGAAAGAGTAGGGGTGGTGTCAAATGAGTTACTACTCTGTCGTCACAACAAGGCGCCGTGAAAATCATCCAATAACTTTTCTCGCTTCGGGTGAGGCTAGAGGGAGTGTCAGACTCTGACTGACTAAAAAACTACCCCGTCCCTACCGGTTATCCTCGGTTATTACCCCCACTTATTCTACAACCGGAATGACCAGATCCTACTCCTGCTCTTCGAGTCGGAGCCCCGGCAACCGAAGGCCCAATTACCCCTCCCCTCCGCGTCCCCAGTCTCCCCAATCCCCGAATCCCCACAATCCTCAAATTCCCAATTCCCAAAAGGCCGTTAATGCACTTTATTAGTGTTCCAGGTGTCCATGGGCGACGCAGATTGCTTACCATCAGGTGATCCTTCTGCTCGTTTACCGGTTTATCTCATAAAAAAACTGATTTAATTAAGTAACTGACGGTATACCTGAAGGCTAGTAATTTCACTGTCTGTGTTGACCAACAGGTCTGACAGGTATTGAGTGACGTGGTCCTCGCGGTCCACGACGTCCACTTCATCATTGGGGTTGAGTATCTTCTTGTCCTGTGGCTGTGTTTCTTCTGAATTCTGCTGTATTGGTATGGATATGTTTGCTGGTTTTTCTGCGAAGAAGATTTGTTTTGGTATTTATTATAAAAATGTATGGGCGCTGTATTACTTCGCCAATAGTTTTGCAGTTGTAATTACAACTACTGAGCTTAAAATTCTGGTTTAAATCCCAGATTAAAGCGAAGAATTAATTCAATCGGAGGTACTGAGACTAATATCAGCATAGTTTGACAAGAGTATCGTCATGTAATAGAGATCGTAATACCTTATGACACTGATTAGACCAACATGACCTAAGTCGTCACTAACGCCCTCTACTAAAAGCAAAAACGACAGCTTAACTAAACCACACAAACCTGTAGTAGTATTGTCTCCACGCATTGTAGTTTCATCTGTAACGTTTAATTTCTCATCTGTAGCCTGTGTCGGTTTCTTGACTTCCCGATCCTGGGTGTCCTGGCTGACCAGGAGTTCTCTGAAGTCTGGTGTCATATCATCTTCGCTGAATACTTTTAGTATGTGACTCTGGAAATTTGGAAAGGGACTCTGTAATATTTTTTGCTCATTAATCTAAGGCACTGTCTTAGTCATTACAAACTTAACATTTAACTTGAAATGTATGTATACGTATATGTGAAGTGGAATCTCGAAACTGGATTTTGAAGCAGAGATATCTTCAACATCAGCTCAAAAAAAAACTATTGTTATTTAAGTTTTCTTTTTTCCACGAAATATAAGGTTGTTTTATTTTTTATTTATCTTCAACCTATTAAGTTCCAATTTTGTATACACGTTTAGTTTGCATGACCATAAATGCTTAACTGTATATAATGCTTAAATGAAACCTTATTTTAGAAAAGTTTCTATTTTTACATTGTGAACGGCTGGTGCGCGTCGTATCGTGTTTGATTCCACACAGCAAAGAGTATAATAAGTATAGTAACACAGTTCCAATTTGTTTTAACGTTAAATGCAAAAAATATTGACAATTCAGTAGCTATGTCTCTACAACTTCATCAAACGCCGTTGTTATAAGTTCGATACATGACAACAGAACAGTTCTACAGCTAGAAACTAAGCTACACCGTGTAATAGGAATCGATCCTATTTCCAAACAACAGCGCAAATCTCAGAAATGTTATAGCAGATATTGTTTATGAAATAAGATTATATTGTTATGAAATTAACGAGAATATTGCCTTCATTGTTCGTTATATAATGTTGTTGCATTGTTATGTTATTGTTTGTGTTGTATTTCATTATGTATTTGTTGATATTATTGCATACCATACCATAATAAACAATTATTCACGACCTTTTAACCCTGAAGAGGTAGGTTTTTTCTTAGAGGGGAAAATCATCGAATGACTGCTCCCGCCCGGGTGAAGCGGGAGGGAGTGTCAGACTCTTACTGACTAAAATCCACCCCGTTCCTAATCCTGCCCTTCGAGCCGAAGCCCCGGTAACCTGTTACGTCCTCCGCGGCTCTGAAGAGGTAGGTTGGTAATTGATATAATACAATACAACCCCAATTACTGACCAATAATGACATAAACTAGTTGCTACCGCGCGGTGTCACCCGCTCTGCTTGGCTCCTATTGATTGTAGCGTGAAGTTTTAAAGCTTATAGCCTTCCCAGATCGACATCCACTACATATGGACTATCGAACATAAAGAATTTTGACAGCACGGTTGAGGCGGTGGCTGGGCAACTGGTTGCAACGCGTGGCGGGTTTAATTCCCGCACGGAACAAGTCTGTGTGATCCACAGATTGTTGTTTCGGGTCTGGATGTCATGTGTATGTGAACTTGTATGTTTGTAAACGCACCCACGACATAGGAGAAAATCCTAGTGTGGGGCAACAAAGCAAAAAGGAAGATTATTCAATTAGAACCAGCAGTTACGGAGATTAGCGCACTCATACAAACAAACTCTTCAGCTTTATATAATAACTATATAATACATAGTATTGATTATTATCAATACATAGTATAAAACAAAGTCGCTTTCGCTGTATGTCCGTATGTATGCTTAGATCTTTAAAACTACGCAACGGATTTTGATGCGGTTTTTTTTAATAGATAGAGTGATTCTTAAGGAAGGTTTGTATGTATATACATATTGCACCCGTGCGAAGCCGGGGCGGGTCGCTAGTATTTATATAATAATAAGTAAGTATAAGTTATAAGATAGAGATTGAGCTTATGACCGCAGATGTTTGCATTTTTTTAATGGGTTAGGTAAGTCGGTAAACGAGCAGACGGATAACCTGATGGTAAGCAATCGGCGTCGCCCATGGACACCTGGAACACCAGAGGCGTTACAAATGCGTTACCGGCCTTTTGGGGATTAAGAATTTGAGGATTGTTAGGGATTCAGGAATTTGGGAAGGGGTATCTACGGCATGGGGTAAAGTATTATAAGGATTTTCGGTTTTTGGAATTTCTCAGTGACAATATGAAACCAGGAATCTTGCATGATGTATTATCAGACTGTGTCATTACATACAACATAGCATTCATACATAACACAACTATATACATAATTATAACTAGAAAAAATATTGTTTGATCTGAGTAGTGTGTGAATGTAACTAAATTAATTATTTTCTTTCCTTCATTGTTACGAGAAATACACAATCATGTGATACTTACACCATACTGATTGTTGTAAGGCATGCTATGAATACAGCTTATCCTTGTTAAAGCAGCCACCACCAGCATGGTCAACTGCACAGAGAAGGCACAAGAAATAAAATATATCGAAAATAATAATGGTTCCGAAAAACAAATTAATCTCCAGCGATCTGTGGTGGACTATAAAAATGGATCGAATAACAAAACTAAACTTCCGAATAGAATATTGAACGTTCGACAAAATTACTAAGTTACCGACAATTAGTATTGTAGCAATAAACTGTCATGTAAAGTAGTCGGAAAGTTATTATTTTAAGCAGTAGATTTAATTTTTTCAATAAGGACTATTCTTCTTTTCTTGTCGGAGCTTTTATTACTACCCAAAATATATTACTGACTACACGGAACTACAAGGTCGTGGGTCCGATTCCCGCACAGAACAACTCTTTGTGTGAACCACAAATTGTTGTTCCGGATCTAAGTGTCATGTCATGTGTATGTGAACTTGTATGTTTGTAAACGCACCCACGACACAGGAAAAAATCCTAGAGTGGGACGTTTTAAGAAAAAACAAACCTATTCTTGCCTAACCTAGTGGTTGATATACATGGTAATGAGACTTGGTCCCTAACCTCTGGCCTTCTAGAGAAGATCATAGTCACTTAGCGCGCGATGGAGAGAGCTGTGCTTGTATGCGACGAAATATGGAGATTCGCTATAGTACTAGAGTTACTGACATACGTATAGCTTGCAAAATCTGCAGGGAGAAGTGCAGCAATGAGCAGGTCATATTGCTTGGTGGACTGATGGCAGATGGGCCAGGAAAGTGAAGTGATCGAGTGAACACCATGAATCGGAAGACGAAGCGTGGGCAGAATTCTCGCTAGGTGGACCGATGATATCGTCAGAGTCGTGGAGAGCCAGTGGATGCAGGTGGCAAGTTGTCATTCGACGTAAGGGACTAAGGGGGAGACCTTTGTCCAGCAGTGGACGTCTTTCGGCTGATGATGATAACTATCCCTATTAATAAGGATGATAACTATCCCGTTTCTTTGCATCGCGTAGTCAAGTAAAAATATCGACCAAACAATTTTACTCAGGTCTATACCTGAGTAACATTGCTTACCTGTGGTGTTTGGACTCTGAGGATATGGTTTTCTATATATTTAGTACTTATCTGAACTTGCCATAAAATACATAAAAATAAATATTGTAAATTAGTCCCAAAATTGAAAATTAAATGATAAAACAAACAAAGAAGAACAAGATAATTTTACGCTGAGAAATAATTTAGAAATCAACAAAATTGTGGTCGTTTAATATTGGACAAATATAAGGAAATCGCCTTATTTAGAACGATTAGGTATGGTAATTGCTAATTGGCGAAATATAATATTGAGGAAATCTATTGAATTGTATTAAAAAATATTACTTAAAATGTAATTTGCTAAGTTCTTAAAAGAAGGAATAATATATTATTTTATACAGTGCAATTACAAACAAGATTATTAGGGAGCATATTCAGAAATTACAAAAAACATTAAAGTGAAATAGTTTTTCAAAGTATATTGTTACAGCCTTTATCCAAAGACCTTGATATAAAAACTACTAAATAAGAGTAGCATTTAAGTTAAAGTTGTGTTAAATATGTTTATGGAATGATGGGTCCGGCATAGTCTTTGTGTGACAAAAAGACTCTAAATTTGAAAAGCTAATAAAACAATAAATAAAATGAAAACAAACTTTATAGAAATGCAGATAGAAGTCTAATTTCCGTTCAACGTCAAAATATTTTTAGGTATTATTTAACTTACCATTAGAAATATATTCCTGGTTTAATATGGAGTGAGTGAGTTTTACTAGGATTGGAGAGATCAACCACTAGTTATCCACTGTAACTACTAGATAAAACTAACCAAGACAGTTAGCATCACTGAAGATCAATATATCTGACAAGGGTGCGTTCCAATGGTGCGACTTCATAATGCGATTATCGGTACGAGAAAAAATTAATGTCGACAAATTTTATAGCACTTAAAAGTCGAATAGTATAACGCGTTGTGTAAATTCTAAAGTGTAATAGAAGTTTTGGGGATGGAGGTGAAGTTTCTTGCTCGTTCTTCTCCATAGGAATCTACCCCTTGGAATGAGTGATGTTCAAAAATGCCTTCTGGTCTAATTGAAATAAATGATTTTGACATTGACATAACTAAGAAAACAAACTCAAGGTCTCTTGCTTGAGATAGCAATTAAATATTGACATTTGTTTCAGTTTTTCAGCCATATAACCTATAGAAATAGTCCAAACTGAATTAAATTATCTAACAGTCAATATTTTTTGCTTAGCTAAAGAAACGAAGCTGACATAAATATATGACTTTGTACAAGTGTGGGAGAGCCATGCTTCGACACGAATTGGCCAGCTTGACAGGAGTGATACCACGGCCTAACAAAATAACCATAGTGAAACAACCACAACGTTGTGTTTCGTCGTGTGAGTGAGGTTACCGGAGGCCCAATTTCCTCGGAAAAAGTCATAATGGTACTTGTTATTAATTTAATAGGTTTCGAATCCTCATGCATGAGAAGCGGGCGTCTTAAACCTCAGGGACACCAAAACTTTATGTTTGAAAAAGCCTTAGCAAAGAGAATATCATTCATACAAAACTAATATATTTCGACAAATGAGTTTGTCCTTTCAATCTATCTTGTTTGAGATTATAAGATTAGTCGAGTAACAATAAAGATTCATTGTATTCCCAAAGGGGTTCTGCTTATATTCAACCCTAAGGTTTCTGAGAAAAGTTACGTCCTCTCCAGTTAAAAGGTTAAATAAATTGACCTTTTCTGTTTTTGTGTCGTTTTTGAATTACTATAAGTGCTCTGCCTCTATCATTTGTATCAAATACTAACTATGCCCGCACGGTTTCACCCGCCCTGCCCCAAGCACTACTACTGCTACTATCCAAGCGCGGAGATAATCAATTCTTTTTTTTATAGGATTAATCGGTAAACGAGCAGGCAGATCATCTGATGGTAAGCAATCGGCGTCGCCCATGGACACCTGGAACACTAGAGGCGTTGCAAGTGTGTTACCGGCCTTTTGGAATTAAGGATTTGAGGATCGTTGGGGATTTAGGAATTGGGAAGATTGGGAAAGGGGACGGTAACTGGGCTTCCGGTAGCCTCACTCACACGACGAAACACAATGCAAGCGTTATTTCACGTCGGTCTTCTATGAGGCCGTGGTATCACTCCGGTCGAGCCAGCCCATTCGTGCCGAAGCAAAGCTCTTCCACATTTTATGTGGAAGCGGTCCAGCAGTGGACTACTCAGGCATAATATGAAGCTCTTATAATCTTCCCAAGCTACTGAAAATCAGAAATGTTCATATAAAATTCGCAGCCAAGTCATAAAACAGTGTCGCAACTTATAACTAAGTTAATCTTTCTTCAGCGAACTTAGAACTCTGTACAAGTGGTTACAGGCTGAAAATAATCCGAATGACAAGTTACAAAGTCGCAACAACCAACGTAGATTTATGTAAGTCATGTACGGATACCTAGCAACTTATTGTATACCAAACTGACAAGGATCTGAAACTGAATTTCAACCGTATGACATGTGAAACAGGATTGAATATCGTTTAAAGAATATTCAAAGATTTGGGTATCTTGTTGTGCTGGTTTTAGTGTATACATTGTCTTGAAAAGTTGGCATCGTACTGAAATTGTTGTTCGCAACCAAAATTTCTTACATTTTCATCATAAATAATTTGTACACGGTGACTGCGTTGCGTTGCCTTGAGAATTGTAGTTGATTTATTGTCGTAAAGACTAATGATGAGGTCTTGGGTTCGGTCTAGGGATGTGGTTAAGTGTTATTGTGAATTTCGACTTTGAAACTCTAGATTTTCTATGTCAATATGTGTGTTTATAATTTATAACTCCTCTATTTACTTACTCTTTATTTGACTGCCTCGTTGACTGAGTGAAAAGTGGGTGTTACATTGTACAGTGGTATTAAGTGGCATAATGTGCAATGTACAATGTAACACCCACTTTACACTATTTATGTTATAAGTCCCATGTAATAGGGGGTGAGCCTATTGCCATATACTTACCGGGTACAATTTCAGACTCAGTGCTACTACTGAGAATTTTACAAAAACCCAGTAATACTTTGCCCGACCCGGGATTAGAACCAGAGACCCCTTGCCCATATAGTAAATAAATAGAATGAAATAAATCTTTCTTTTAAATACTTAATAATTGACAATCAAAATTTGCGATTTCCAGTCGCATGCTCAATCGCTCTATTAGAACGCACCCTAATTCCGTGTTGATGTTCCCCAGCTATTGTTTACATGCCATCTGATATTGTCAGACGATTAGCATAACATAACATAAGAAAACGAACTCAAATAATAGACATTTGATACAGCATACATAGCCTCAATTATGGGAAGAATCATTGCGTGAACAACACAAATATAAAGACAAAGAGGAAATATTTGATTGTTTTCTTGTTTTTTTGTATGTGTTGAATAGGTTCGGAAACTACTGGTCCAATTAAATTTATCTATTACTAGTTTCTGTCCGCGACTTCGTACGCGCGCTTCCATTTTCTCCCGTTCCCGTAAGATTTTCAGGATAATAACAAACACAACAAAAAAAAATTAGCCGAATCGGTCCAGCCATTCTCAAGTTATGGCGTGACAACGGGAAACAGGTTTCATTTTTATATAATTTATTTATTTACTAACTACTTGCGCGCGGTTTGACCCGCTCTGTTTGGCTCCTATTGGTCGTAGCGAGATGTTTTATAGCCTATAGCCTTCCTCTATAAATGGACTATCCAACACAAAAAGAATTATTCAATTCGAATCAGTAGTTTCGGAGATTAGCGCGTTCAAACAAAAAAACAAACTCTTCAGCTTTATAATATTAGTATAGATTTCAATTAAATAGTATAACATTACAGTCATAAATGGCATTGGTTAATTCTTTCACTATTGGAAAGTTTATTATTCTGGGAATAGCATTGGTTTTTTTTATTTTTATATGTCTGTGGGATTGGAATTTAATCATGAGATATTTAAATTCCCACACGGCCGAAGTCACAGGGATCTTACCTAAGTTTATTTAGAATTCCTACAATAATTACGTAATGTAGGAATGTATTATTAATTTATTATTCACCAGATATGTTTCTTAACGCCATTGTAATAATAATTATTATTCCCTCATTGGCAGAATAGAGTAGATGACTATTTTTTACTTTAATGTCTATTGTTATTTAAACTGTCAAACACCAAGCGGTCACCGGTGACCGCAACCTATTGTTCTATAATTGTGTCTACAAAACCGGTACTCGACGAGTTAAACACATTACACACGTATTTTTTATTTTCTTAGACTTATGTACATACTATCGACGATTTATATTGATTTGAAATATCCTGTGACGGTAATTCTAGGGACGGTTTTATAACTCAAAATGACGTAGGTAGCTAACTCCCACTCCTAAACTTTGATTCGTTTTATCTAAGTGTAGTTTTCTTATACGACAAAATAAAAAAGGACGTGTCTAATATTTTTTCATTACGTAACTGACGAACAAATTCGAATTTAATTTTCATATCCTGTCCCTATGGTCGCTGCGACTTCATTCCTGGTTGAGGTAAAGCATCATTACATTTTTTAGGATATTTTATAACTTCTCATTACGGCACGGAGACTAGAATTGTGCGCAAAATATGGCAATAAGGCTCACCACCTATTGCAATTCGACTCATAACTGATGAAAGTATGGAATAGCCATGTTTCTGCACGAATGGGCCGGCTCGACTAGAGTGATACCATGCAAGGCCTCACAGAAAACCGACGTGAAACAAGGCTTACGTTGCGTTGCGTCGTGTTAGTGAGCTTACTGGAATCCCAATTACCCTCCCTAATCTCCCCAATCCCTGAATCCCTTACAATGCTCAAATTCCTAATCCCCAAAAGGGCAGTAACGCACTTGTAACGCCTCTGGTGTTCCAGGTGTCCATGGGCGACGCCGATTGCTTACCATCAGGTGATCCGTCTGCTCGTTTACCAGCTTATGTATGCCATAAAAAAAGCCAATGTTACTTCTTAGTACATCAGCTACCTGCCAATAAAAGTCTTGCAAATTCGGTCCAGCCGTAACAGAGATTAGCTAGCCAGACAAACAGATAAACAGACAGATTAACAAAAATTGTAAAAAATGGTTGCTTACCATCGGGTGATCTGTATGCTCGTTTACCGCTTTATTCCATAAAAAAACGAAAATAATGTAATACTGTACATAATAACATCATCAAGCCTTTTATCCCCGAAGGGGTGTAGGAAGAAGTGCACATTACGGCACTTAATGCCACTGTATAATGTAACACTCACTTTTAACTATTTATGTTATGAGTATTAGAGGGTGAGATTATTGCCATGTATCGGGCACATTTCCAGACTCCGTGCTACTACTGAGATGTTTTTTTGTGAAAAACCCGGTGTTACTTTGCCCGACCTGGGAATCCAACACGAGACCCCTTGCTCGGCAGTGGCACTTGCGACCTCTCGGCCAACGAGGCAGTGTTGTACGTATGTGCCTGTACTACCTCTCTACCTAATCCTTCAAATATTTAAATGCGTGATGCTATGTTGTGTATATCTGGTATGGACTGCGTTCTGCCAACGTCTTCGCTTGCGGTCCGGTCGAATAAAAAACCAGGCCTTATTCCAGGCCATAAACTACACCTGTTCCTAATTTCATCACACCTAATATGTCGCGGAGAACCTAACGGGTTACCGGGGCTCGAAGTGCAGGAGAAGGAACGGGGTGGTTTTTAGTCAGTAAGAGTCTGACACTCCCCCCCGCCTCACCCAGGCGGGAGTAGCCATTCGATGATTTTCCCCATTTAAAAAAAATACAATTGAAAAATAAATTTATAAAGTTGTCAGGCTGTCTTATGTTCGTTTTGTGATGACGTTGCGTTTAAATAAATATCGTGATTTATAACAATTCTGACTAGTGTTTTTATTGAAATATTACCTAATCTCAATAATTACCCTATATGACGTGATCAAGTAACGAACTATGCATAAAATAAAACTGTAGAAGATTACATCCTTACTAGTCCTTACTAATATGTTGATATTATAAATCGGCAAGTGAGTTTGTTTGTTCCGCTTTCACACCGTAACTACTAAACCGATTGTATTGAATTTTTGCAGACGTAAAGTTAGAAGTCTGGATTAAATAATAGGGTACTTTTTATCCCGGAAAAATTTGATATTCCCGAGGAAAGACAAAAGTATTGGTATAGATGGCGCTGTGTGTTTTTTTTTTTTTATTTTTTTTAAGGGGGGAAAATCATCGAATGACTGCTCCAGCCTGGGTGAGGCGGGAGGGAGTGTCAGACTCCTGCACGTCATATCACATAGGCTATCTTTTATCCTTTTGTGACGCAAGCGAGGCCGCCGGTAAAAGCTAGTATTATTATAAACATTATTTAAGAATCACTTTATCTATTTAAAAAAAGCGCACCAATATCCGTTGCGTAGTTTTAAAGATCTAAGCATACATAGGGACAGACAGACGGCGGATAGCGACTTTGTTTTATACTATGTAGTGATAAGTAGCTATAACACATTGTGACTTCAGCTCTGTATACCACTTCGTAGAATAACTGGCTTGATGTTATCATAACAAACTTGATCATGACCCAACCTTGTGTAGATTTCGATAACAATTTAAAATGTAAATATTTACTTGTTTATGTAATAGTTTCAGTTAGTAGTTTTTAAAGGAAATTTATTTAATTGTATCAATGTCAAAATATAATTATGTATTAAATAATAAAACAATAATGTCGTGGTGGTCCGGAGGCTTAAGACGCCCGCTTCTCATGCATGAAGGTATGGGTTCGAAACCTACCAACGGCAAGTACCAATGTGACTTTTTCCGAGTTATATGTACTTTCTAAGATTATTTAGACACCACTGACAAACGGTGAAGGAAATCATCATGAGGAAACCTGGGCTTATAATTTCTAATTATAAGTTTGTAATCGCCAACCCGCATTGAGCAAGCGTGGTGATCAATGCTCAAATCTTCTCCGTGTGAGAAGAGGTTTTGCTTAGCAGTGGGTGCTTATAGGCTGATGATGATGATAGGTAATGATTATATTCTGCCTGATTTACACAGGGTCTTTATAAGTGACTGGTGACTTCGAGTTCGAGACAGAACTGCGGGACAAGTCAATCAGTAATAAGTAGATAATGATAATTAATTACATACATAACTTCACGCCTGTCTCCCATGGGGGTAGGCAGAGACTAAGGAACGCTAATTACTACGATTCTTACATACCTCTTTCGCTTCATTAACAGTCATCAATCTTTTCAAGCATGCTCGTCGGTTAAGGGTACTTTTAATTTGGCCCTTCTTTAATATATCGCCAATCTGGTCACTATATGTCCGTCTAGGGCGCCCTCTACCGACGGCCCCATTCATATCCGCTCTGTATACTTCTTTCGTTACTCTACTTTCATCCATCCTTTCTACATGTCCAAACCAGCGTAACATTCCCTTTTCAATCCTTGTCACTACATCATCTTTCAATCCACACCTTTCTCTAGTAACACTATTTTTCACTCGATCATTCAATTTTAGTCCACACATACTTCTTAGGGCTCTCATTTCCACCGCATTAATCCTGCTTTCATGCTTCTTCTGCCACACCCATGATTCACTACCATACATAAGCGTTGGTGTCAATACACACTGCATTACAGCAAGTGATAATTAATTCTACTATGATAACCCATTTACTTTCTTAAACAAATAACTCTATTAGATAAAATCAGTAGAAACAATATCTAGTTAGTTTAATAATTACTGCTTTGTTTGACAGCCTCATGCATGAGAAGCGAGCGTCTTAAACCTCCGGGCCACCATGACATCAATATCAATATCGACACGGCAGAATATAATATTTCACACAAAGATTGTCGGACTGTAGACGTAACTGTCAGTCCTTGAATAATGAGGAAATGTAAATAGATTATGAATAATGACAAGCAAAAAATACTGTTAGGTTTGTATTGTAATGCAACTTGTTGGTATAACGTTAAAGAGATTATATAAATAACATTTTATCACCGAAGGGATAGGCAGAGGTGAACGTTATGCCACTGTACCTACAATGTTACACCCACTTTTCACTATTTATGTTATGAGTCCCATGTAATAGTGGGTGAGCCTATTGTCATATACCGGGCGCATTTCCAGACTCCGTGCTACTACTGAGATTTTTATTTTAAAAAACCCTGCACTACTTTGCCCAACCCGGTATTCGAACCCGAGACCCCTTACTCGGCTGTCCTGTCGCAATTGCGACCACTCGGCCAACGAGGCAGTCAGACTAATTAATTCAAGGAACATAAATACTTACCTACAAAAATATTCACGCTCTATTAAAACATATATTAAAGTGATAACCACTATCATTAATTAAGTGGAAAGAGAACACAAACATCATTTAAAATATCACAATATATTTATATTCATAAAAAATAAACCGCACCAAATACGATGGCTAGCAATCTATTACACATTCAACTTTATTCTATTGACAGAAAGTCGAAAATGAATAAAGATAGATTGAAATAGGTTGATCTAAAATCAGTGTACAATAAATAACTGGTCTTAACGTCCCAACACTCACTATTCGGCTAAAGCCGAAAGCCGAATATTTGATCACACATCACTATCAAAAAACGAAGACACCTTTTTCTTCAACTTCCTCCCTTTCCCTTCGTCAGTCACTTTACAACGTCCATAATTTGGTGTTAAATAAAACAATTGATCACTATTCCCATCATAATAAATCACATTATTATAATTGTCGAATACAGTTCTAAAAGGTGATCCGCTCCCAAAAGCACCGACTTCAGACAATCTTCCAGTCCTATAGTCGATTTTATACAACCCTCTTGTATCTCGTTGTATGAAATATGCGTTGTCATTTATATCAGTAGTGAGAGAGTATATTATGGTGGAAAACAACGTGGCCTTATTTTCCCCCTTCTTCAATTTATAAACAGTGAAATTGCTCATGAAATAAATATCATCTTTCTTATCGACGATAAAATCATCGATCGTGTAGTCCTTCAACGCAGTCACAGTTTTAGATTGTTTCTTTTCATATGTGTACAGCCCTTTAGTCATGAATATAGTGTAGTATATCTTGTCTTTAAACTGCATATGCCATATTGTTTTATCATTTAGGGCGAATCTAGTTGTTACGTTTGTAATTGGATTGTATTTATAGATGCCATTCGCGCCACCGATGTAGACTTCCCTCGTCGTCTGGTCAACAGCTCGAGCGAAGGAAAATTGTATATCCGGAATATACAAGAATCTAATATCGTCTAAATCAAATGCAACAGTGTGATCTAAAGGCCGAGTGTCTTCGTAATGGAAATAAACAACATTGGCGACCCTGTCGACAGCTAATTGTCCGGATATTGGATAGTTTTGAAATATTAGAGCTTTGGAATAGCAAATACTGTCGAAGCAGGCGTGACAATGGCTTTTGCCGGATATTACTGTCGTTAAAGCCGAGAGGCCGAACAGGATTAGGAGGTGTTTCATTTTCTTTCTGAAAGAAAAATAAATAACGTTTATTAAGTGAGCTTGCTTGGATATTAAATTATGTTGAAAAAAATGGAATGAAAGACGTTTTTGACTGTGTTAACTTTAAGGCATTGGCTGCCAATAAAAAACTGTTGAAGGCAAATCCTCCGCTAATGTCGGTCACCAGTGACTGCCATGGCGTTTAACGTGTTAAACAAGATTTTCTAAGTACCTACTTTATTTAAATTGATGTTTACTGCTTTGTTGGTTTAATCGTTGCTTATTTTTAATATTTAGCAAATTTTTCTACACCAATTGGCAATTGAAACTGCATCTAATCATATTCATATATATCATGAAAGTGTGGGAGAGCCATGCTTCGGCACGAATGAACCGGCTCCACCGGAGTGATACCACGGCCTTACAGAAAACCGACGTGAAGCAACGCTTGCGTTGTGTTTCGTCGTGTGAGTGAGGTTACCGGAGGCCCAATTACTCTCCCCTTTCCCAATCTCCCCAATTCCTGAATCCCCAATGATCCTCAAACTCCTAATTCCCAAAAGGCCGGTAACGCACTTGTAACGCCTCTGGTGTTCTAGGTGTCCATGGGCGACGCCGATTGCTTACCATCAGGTGATCCGTCTGCTCGTTTACCGGCTCATTCCATAAAAAAAAAACTTGTAGGAGTCACTAAATTCGATACTAATTAAAACGTAGGTAGGTACTGCAAAGGATCTGGTAACATTGCATACCCCGGAAAACAAATAACTAAATGTCGTCATTACAATTAAATTAACTATAACAAACGTATAACGCATAAACATAATTCAGATTCGAGAACATTCCATACGAAATTACCTTAGCAGAACAACAAAACATACTCACACAAATATAAACACATAATCACACTACCACACTTAATTTCCTAAGCACTTGCTTCAAAAATGAGCTGAGAACTTCACTAAAATACAATAATTTTGTTAAATAAACTTAATATTTAATATTGTCTTTAATAAATGCGTGTTGTAGCAAGTTATTCTGACTAATGATAAACGTTTGTTGCGTAGCTATCATTATCAATTTGAGAAGCGATGTCGCTGAGAGATGAGGGCGTAAGTTCAAAATGTTAACTTTCAATCTGTTTATTGATTGATACTGATTTTAACTATCGCACGTAATATCATGGATATTAATCACCGAATGGATGGGATGATGTATCTACAAATACCTATTACACATGAATGAGACCCATGGATTAAAACCCATAATAATCACTTACTATTTTATAGTAGCAAAAAATAGTAATATTTTATATTTTATACTAGCCGGTGATTCAGTGAATCACCGGCCATTGGCCAAATACCCTCCCTCTAACTAAGAATACTTTGAAAATATGAAAAGCCCAATGATACTTTGCCAGACCCAAGAATCGAACGCGAGGCCCGTTGGTTGAACGACGCACTCGTGACCTCTGGACCTGTGGAAAAGTTAGGCATTCGGTACCTCATTCACACAGCTGCACTCAACGCAAGCGTTATTTCACGCCTGTTTAAGTTCTGTGAGGCCGTGGTATCACTCCGGTCGAGCCAGCCCTTTCGTGCCGAAGCATACACATAAGTCTCCCATATATAACTTCTTGTATCAATATTTTAAACTAGCTATAATCCGCGCCTTTGCCCGCGTATTCCCGCTTTCCCAAGGGAGTATTTAATCTGAATAAAACGTATCCTATCACCTAAGTCAGCCTATACCCTGTCTGTATACCAAAATTTCATCAAAACCCGTTCGGTTTTAGCGTGATTGACAAACAAACATTATAATAATTAAGTGTCTGCCTCGTTGGCCGAGTGGTCGCAAGTGCGACTGCCGGGCAAGGGGTCTCGGGTTCGATTCCCGGGCCGGGCAAAATATTACTGGGTTTAAAAAAAACTGTCAGTAGTAGCACGGAGTCTAGAATTTTGTGCCCGGTATATGGCAATAGGCTCACCCCCTATTACATGGGACTCATAACATAAATTGTGAAAAGTGGGTGTTACATTGTACAGTGGCAGAATGTGCACCTCTGCCTACCCCTTCGGGATAAATGGCGTGATGTTATGTTATGTTATGTAATAATTAAGTGTGATAAGTACCTTAGTTAATTTGGCCCATTTTACTTCCACCCTTATCAATTGAAAGCCGTGAGGTATGCACTTTATGTAATAATACCCGTAAGTCTGGAGAGGTCTAGAGGGGTCTAGAGGTCTCCATTACACACGGCCTTTGATACCACGTGTTGTGTCAACGTACTTAACATGTAGATATAAGTAGATAGATAGAGGCATACCTAATAAGATCACATGTA